GGCCTTTCTGCAACACTCCTCATGAAATATTAATGAATTCATTTCTCCAAGAGCAGTAACAAAAAAATAAATATAATTAGCAACAGGAATATGAGAAGCTATAAGTTATGATAATTCTCAATCTAAGTAAGTTCTAGAAACTTCTTCTTTTTCGACCGTATTTGATCAAAGAAAACTCAAAGCAATGATTATATTAGAAACATTTTTAAAGCATTACCCACAGTCCAATTTTTAAAATCTACCGATGAAAAAATGATGAATTAGGGCATCATCCAAATAAAAATTGAAATTGATAACTCCTAGGGACCTTGAAATATTTTTTCAATCTGTCTCTTCAAAAAAATTAACGGCTCTTTCTGATTTCTCATTCCCCATTCATGAAAAAATATATTTTATGAGAACTCATTTTTGAAATTCAAAATAATTGAAAACAACAAATCATTGGGAAATAGCACGTTATTCTATAAGTATTTATGAAAAATTGACTTCATTTTCTGATCACATTACCCAAATTGGCTGTAAATATGCCATTTCTATATTTTATGAAGTTATTTAACTTCATTCTTTTTTTGGATGAAGGTAGTAAAATCAACTTGATAATTATTCAATTCAAATGTTCCAAAAAAACGTCCTTCCGAAATTGGAAACATTTTTTATTCACGAAATGAAAAATTATATGTATTTAATCTGTCAATAACACCTGTCGCCCCATTATTCAATCGTTCGAATGTTCCACAACTTGGATCTTTTTGTGGAGACAAAAACAACTTGAATAGTACAGAGAATAATGACGAATGGTCTAGTTATGCGGAAACCATTCAGACCACTAATTGTAAATGAAATAAATGATGAACAATGAATCTATTGAAACTGGATTGTGTTCCAAGACACGAGAGAAACATCAATTTGCATTAATGTTATTCAATTAAAACGAGAGCTCAATTATCAGCCCGTATCAGGAATTCCTGAATAACATTTCTATTCTTTGTTGATCATTTTGGTAATCCATATCACGATTTGAGAAGTTCAGTTTCAGTCTAGTGGTGAACTTCAAAAATGCAAAAATATTGTCCAAATAACCAAGGTGAATTAATTTCCAACACTTCAACCTATCCCTGATTGATCAACCAATCATTTATTTGTAAAATATTGTTTATTTTCTAATGGTATATGCAAATGTATTGATCAATCGAATTTTCGATTAACTATCTGTGGTAAAATTTCCATTGTATATTTTTCTACTCCAAAATAAATTCGACCACAGTTAAATCTGTTCTCTGTTAAAATCTGTTTTTCCGTTAACCTGCTGTTTCCATTAACCAGTGAATTTAGGTTTCGAATAAGTCACAATCCACCAAAAATAAATATAAAGACACCACCGCCATATTCAGAAGTTCTTCGTTCCAAAGAATAGACACCTTTTCACACCAATGAAGATATAGCCACTTTTCAGTATAATACAAAATAAATACATTAATTGAATATCCCGAAAGCATCAATTTCAATCGATCAAAATTTGTGCAAATCCATAAGTTCCGAAATTTTGTTACGTAAATATCTTGAGTTAGCCTAATTTATTTTATAATGAAAGTTTGCTTGAAAGCAACGTGTTGAAAATGATAATATTGAACGAATTCTGATCGAGAGAAAATCAATTATTTCAGTTTCGAAATACAATTTCAAAATTCATGTGGAATATCTAAAGAACTATCAAATTCCTGAAATTATATTCACCTGTCATATTTTTGTACAATGTTAACGTAGACAACTTTGAAAAGCACACGATTTTTATAATAAAACTTCCCAATAACACATATTCAGTTCATTCCAAACAATCAATTAGATTTACTTTGATATACTTCATCAGAATATTTGTCTACTACCTACTTATCTTTGTATAGCCTTTCAGAATAAGTTATAAGTTCAGTCGAAGTTCTACACATCCCATTCATCAAATTCAATAATTTTTTATTATTATATTCTTTCATAATGTGAAGTTACAAGTCATTTTATAGCTTTATTCGAAAGTGACATCAAAGGAACCATTTCGCGAAGTGAAAGGAAGACTATCACTTTAAGATGTAATGCCAAAGCGTTCATAGCTATTATCTATTAAATTTATGACTTACGCTAAAATCGATAATCACTTCCGTACTCTGAATTCCAAATTCACAATGCATTTCTGGTATCGAAGAATTCTCTGAACTCAGCCATAATTCTAGATTAAATGAAAAATTCAAAACAAAAATGAAGGAAACGCGAATCAGGTTATCTTTTTACTTGAATTGAAAAAATTCATCTAATGAAATATTGGGTTTGGAGATTACTAAGACCCGCACGTAACTCTGGCTAACGGAAAAACAGAACCAGACAGAACTCAAAAAGTAGATTTTTTCAGTGATACTAACAGCATACACTACTGATATTATTTTTCGAATATATTTGCCACTTGTGGCGACATCGAGAGGGCAGATTGTGTACAACACTGTTCCAACATCTGAAGTTGCCTATACCAAAGAGTACGAATCCCATAGAAGCTCAGAAGTGGCATTTTCCTGTCACAATAAATTTGTAGTACTTACCATGATCACCAGAGGGCAATGACGGTACGATGCCAGTATTGAATGTATCAACCGACTTGGGTTGCTGACAACCAGTCGGCGGATTCTATCGAAGTCGAAATGCCCAGAAAATCAAATTGAATCAAAAAGTTACCTGGTTTGTTAGCGACTGCTACCCAGTTCTGTTGGCAATTACATTAAATACTGATATCGTACTGCCGTCGCCCTCTAGTGGTCATAGTCAGTACTAAAAATTTTCACGTGACGAAAATGCCAATTTTGAGCTTCCATGGGCTTCGTTTTCTTTGCCTATACTAATAGTTCGGTATTATGATAAATGTATGAAAATGAGCAGCAGCATATAATAATCGAGAATTTCAAATTAAAATTTGAAATGAGAATTGTAAAAAATGAATTTATCCAAATCTTAATTGGATGAAAAATATTATGCAGATCATTTAAATAAAAGAAATCCATTTTTGAAAATCGAAGACTATCTAGTTCGTCGAATGAATAGTTTTTAATAGTTGCACCCCGTACTACATGACGGAAAATACTTTATATACTTCAGGGAAAATTCATCACTGTTGAATTGAATATCACTGAAATTTTCTCCCAACACCAAACCGTTATTTTAACATCTCGACACGTGTTTCGATCACCAAGTGATCATCTTCAAGAGGAAGATCAGACTTTTGGATTGTTTATCAACAATTAAATTCAATTTCGTTGATCGTTTTCTTGGAAACGAATTCAATTTTACAAAAAATTTTAACTTTATTGGCTCATTGATATGTTTCAAATTTATCAGTCATTACAAAAATGTGATTTTGATATTGATGTAAACGAATCCTACAATAACAGTAAAACGAATATTATTTTGTAACTATACTATGAGTTTTTATTGCCATGAGCAATGTTTTCTTGACGTTCAATTCATTAATCCTAGATGTCGCCCGCTCCTTTGTCCTCCCGAATATCACTACTGAAAATATTATGTATCGTATGCTTCGAAATATTTCGTGATTTTCATTAGGCTTGTCATACTGAAAAGCATTCAGGCATTGATGAATGAGAATGCAAAACCTGATTTCATAATTTTCACACTTTTTCTTACTGAAATATCAAGCTCCATCTCACCCAAAATATCAAAAAAATCAACTCAATTCACGATGATACTATAACTTGTGTTTTCGTCTTCAGGCACACATTCTATTTGATTATTTGAATAATGGAATTTGGAAACTTTGTTCTAACATTGGAAAATTTGAATTTCACACGTCACCGTTATCAGCACTCCTGATTTATTGTCAAAAAAGTTATGGTTCCTGATACGACGAAATGCAAAATGAAGTCAGTGGAATAAATATCCATGATCCCACGTTCCATCGAGATTGTGGTGTCCAATATTTTTTGTCTAACTGCTCCCCTGAAAATTCAATTGGTAGATCTCAACTTGTTTTTGTTGAAATAAATACATCATTATCAACACCTGGAGAAAAATATAAATAATTTTCATTAATCAACTTTATTGCGTATCTCAATGAAAGAACGAAAATCCATGCTTCATTTTTAGGCGTTCATTCGATACCTTTTGAAACTAGCGGACAGAAATTAAGTGACTATATACTGTATGCTAAGACACTCGCAGGCAACGAACATGTTGATGAGTATGCTAGAAACGGATAATCTATTCCATATATAGACCCTGAACTTGCTTTGAGGGTACCAAAGTCTTTTGTACGGAACCGGGTTGGAAGGTAGGTCTATGAGAAACATCAAGAGTACTAGGAAAACTTACCCGGGTACAGACACGAAAAAATTTTCATGCAGGAACTGTTAGAGAAGAGAACTGAAGAACTGCTTGATTGGAGCAGGAATCAACTCGGAATTATCACAAGGCTACTCATTGGAAACTGTACATTGAGAGAATATCTGAACAAAGGAGCAAAATACGGCTAAACAATGGATACTTTACCTGCAGACAATGCATAGGTCAGAGACAGTTCATCACATATATATTCATCGAAGGACCAGTTCAAACCAGTATAGAACAAAAGAGTGTTGGAATGGGCCATTGGTGGAGAACCTAAAATTTTGTCAAACCATTACTTTCCTCTACTTTTGTTATTGTTTCTTGAAGCTGAAGCTTATGGCTGAAATTCATTTTATAATTCATGAATATGAAAACCATTTACTTTCAAGGGGGTATCGAATGACCCCCTGAACATTCAGCATGGTCTTTAAGCTTTTGTTGAATAAATGATAAAGCATCATCATAGTCCCATTTGTCTATTTTAGACACAATTTTGTATATTTTTTCACTTGTATATTTGTACAGTAGGTACATTTGTGGTTGGGATGTGTACTAATTAATTTAACCATGAACGTTTATACCCAAAAGTAACTCTCTGACTGATTTTTTTTCTGTTTGGTTAGTTGGTAGCTGGTTCAGGAGCAACAGAAGAATCAGATGAGAAAGGAAATTCACCAGGAGGAGTAGCTGAGATTGACATCCAGAAGAGCGCAGGACATTACTCAGAAGGTATTCCCGGGCCTATCACACGTTTGCTCGTCATAGCCAACCGAGGTGTTGCCAATTTAGTCCAAGACCTGATCCTTGTAAGTATCTTCCAGTAGTTCTGAGTGAATCTAGTCTTTAATAAAATACAAAACAAATACAAAATCTGTAACAAAATCATAAATATTGCAATCAGACGAAGTGAAGAAGAAATTTTGATTTTGATATAGCAACAATTTTGTTTGAAATATGGGCTTCCAAAGAAAATGGTCCTCTAGAAGCGAAATAGGGGTCTATACAGAATTGTATGGAGTTTGATAAGTCAGCACGGTGACAAGCAGTATTGAAATGTATCGTTCACGTACAGATTTCAAGTGTGTGACAAAAAAACCAGTTGTTCGATCGTGATTCAGAATTTAGATGGTGTACCGATAATCACACATAACTTGTGACGTCACACTACATTTCAATCAAGGGATAGTTTCAAAGCAGTCCTTGATAACTTTATATGCTATTGATATAAAACTTCTGTCATTGTATTCTGTATGACAATTTTTTATTTTACTCAAACACTAACAAACTGAATTTTGAATTTATCGAAAAAAATCAGTTTTTTGTTGTTCTTTTCAAGTTTCAAATCATTGAGTAGCTTCATAATAATTCATGCATCATTTCAAAATATATCTTCCTATCACGAATTACCCAACACGTTAATGACCGAAATATATATTCTTCATTTCAAATTAACGAGAAATCAAATACTGCATCTCAATACAGAACATTTCATGTCAAGGTCCACGAGCATAATGTATATTTTATGTAAATTGATTGTTTTTATAACATAAAATTAGGACAAGATTGATCACTATCTAATCGCTTTCACTTTTTTTCAGCGTTTGGCCCAAACTAGCGAGAAATTGGTCAACTTCAAGGCTCGTCTCATCACATCCCTGATCTAAGAAGTTTTGCCATGATTCCGATAGAATATGTTGTCATTTTTTTTAATGAAAATTAAATCATGATCATGTTTGATTTCAATCGTTGGAAGTATTTCGACAATGAGTAGAAAAATTCTGCACATTTTTCAGGTGATTTTTTTTTCTAAAATAATTTGAAACCACTCATTGCTACCGACTGGAAGCAGACTATGATACTGTTTTTCATAGCCTTCATTGAGTTTTTTACCGTTGTCAAAGTTGAATCCAGCTGGAAAAATTAATTTCAAATTTATTTATCAATTTCAATATTGTTATGTAAATATGTCTATATGTTATTTACTTTTTTTCACTAGGTAGTTTTCTTGCCATTTTTTTCTTTGAATTTTCATTAGGTGTACATGTACATGTACGAGTAAGAAAGGTGTCTTCGAGATGATATGATAAATGCATCGATCCTTGTCTTTTAGTTTTATCCTTTCTATACTCAATCATTTCTTTTATTTTTCTTGCATTTTTGTATTTGTATTCTTGTATTTGTATTTTTTATGTATTTTTTAAATAAATTTCATTCAGTTGATGTTTGTTACCTGAACAATTGCTCACTTTTTAATTGTCATCAATTTTGGAAATAGAAGAGTGATGTTCTTTCATGAGTGCTTTAGATAGATATTTTTATTATACCTTATCTTTTGTAAGTAGTGTAAATACTTAATTTAAAAGGAAAAGAACATTGCAAGTTGTAATTTGTGTTATTGCGTAGGATTGTCAGTATGAGGATAGGTATTTTGTTAAGACTTGAGAAATAATAAAATGTTTTACTAGTAAAATGCCTATTATTGCTTTCCTTTGAATATGGTTATGCATCACAATGACGTAAACAGCAACAGTTACTGAAGTTTTTTCCCAACACCTCGACAAGAGAAAGATCTACCTCTTGAAGATGATCACTTGGTGATCGAAACACGTTTCGAGGTGTTAAAATAACGGTTTGGTGTTGGGAAAAAACTCCAGTACTACTCATTACCACATCAAAGGTTCCAAACAGTGCATTACAAGCAACAGTTACATAGAAAATCATATAGCACCAATGGTTTCTATTGAAAAAAAAATAACTTACTACGAAATGATATATTGAAATATCATACCTACCGTATGTGCACGACTATCGTCAAGCTCCGCAAAATAATTATTTTCAGAGTGAGAATATACAGGGTCCTGCAACAGTGGCGCGGTGTTCCATATCTCTATATAGGAAGCAGATAGGAATCTAATTTTCTATAATATTACCTTATTGCTCGAGCTCGACAAAATAAAAATATTGGCGGTCACACAGGGTGTTCGATTTTTTCTGGGCGGATCCCAACTGTGTCTTTTTAAATG